GAGGAGAGAACGTAAACACAAGTTACATGCCCCCCACACCTAGTGGCCTTTGGGTAGACAGCTCCAGTTTCTCACCCTAAGCTGGGTCAGAGGACGACACCCTGATACCCACACAATCCAAGACAGGTGTTTTGTCCAAACTACCAAATTAAGAATGGACAAAGGGGAGAATGTTTGGCCCAGAAAGACCGCCCCTCCCAGGCGCTGTCAGCGACCGGGTAGTCCCCAGCGGCAGCTGGAATGAAAGATGCGAGCCCGTTCCCGGGGCCGCCCCCACGCTGGATGGCCACTCCCCGACTGCCGCGGAGCGAGGGCCACTCTGCTCCGGAGGATGGGCTGGACGACCGCTAGGTCCCTCCCGGGCTTCCCGGAGTGCGGCACCCAGGAAGAAGGCAGGGCTCACCGCCGCTGGTTTTTACCCGGGCCGCGGGGCTGGCTGCGACTCCTCGGTCGCCGGCTCCCCGTAGTTCTCGCCCACCTGGCACATAGCGGCCGAGTCGGCTCACAGGAAGTAGCTGAGGCAGCAGCGACAACAGCTCGGGTCTCACTTTGATGACGCCAGACCAGTGCCGGTGCCCTCGGAAGGCGGGCGGCGAGGGCGCGCTCCGGTGACGTCACCGCCGCCGTCGCGGCCGTGACGCGCGGGCCGGACCGGGCCGGGCCGGGGCAGGACAGTGGGGCAAGCGGCGGCGTGGGCCGGGCCCCGGAATGGCGATGTTCCGCAGCCTGGTGGCCTCGGCGCATCAGCGGCAGCCGCCGACTGGGTCTGCGGGCGGCGATAGCGGCCTGGAGGCGCAGTACAGCTGCCCCATCTGCCTGGAGGTCTACCACCGGCCCGTGGCCATCGGCAGCTGCGGCCACACGTGAGCGCGCCCGGCTGGGGGCCGCGGGTGGGAGCGCCCCGACCCGGGAGGTGTCCCGAAGCCGGCTGCCGTCCGAGTGCGGCCCCGGCGCGGGGAGTCGGGGCGCAGAGGACTAGGGGCGCGCCGGGGGTCTGGGCTTCCCAGCGCGGCGTCGTTCCTGTTCTCTGGGCGCGAGCGTCCTCAGCCCAGGCTCCAGCTCGCCGGCTCCAGGTGCTCGGTGCGACCACGGCTGGACGCTGGGCACGACCTGCAGCGCCACCCAGCCGCAGAGCCCCCAGGGGCTGCTGACGGCCACAGCGGGCCGCCCGGGTACTCAGAGGGCAGCCGACGCAAACGCTGCGCCAGTCGCCGTCCATTTGATCTGGTGAAGTGCAGTGGACAGTTGTAAATAAATGACTTGTGGCTTTTGCTGTCAGCTGTTTTTCAGACCCACTGCCTGCTTGTTCCCTAAAGTTAGGGGAGAGACTTGTTTGGGGTCTGGTGTTGTTTTGTTAGGTTTTTAAGAACTTGGGTCACACTGATCACTGCGTAACCAGGCTGGCCTGCACTTTGCAGAGGTTTCTAGCTGCACCAGGGCCCTCTGGGTGTTTCAGGAACAGAAACGTTTAGGATGTGCTTCTCCTTACTGAAGGGAGCTGTGCTCACGGAGGGAGCGAGGTCACAGAGGTCACTCCAACGCCTCTCCTAAGTGCCAAATGCAGCTCTGGAGCAAAATTGTCAGGGTGGAGCTGGAGGGCTTCCTTGCAAACCAGGCTGCTGAGGAGGTGGAGTCAGGCCACTATACCCAGGCAGGTAGGAGGCCCTAGAATATTTTGCAAAGGCAGCTGACTTCAGAGGCTCCAGATACAAAGAGGAAGCGGAACTGCTGGGGGGGCGGGGGGCCATGCTAGTCACCCAAGAGGCTGAGGAGGGACGCTTTTCCTGGGCGCCAGTGACAGGAGGCCCAGGCTCCTCCCCACACCAGCAAAGCTCTGCTGAGCTCTCTTGTAAGGATGCCAGGGGTGCTGCACCTGCTCAGTTACTCCCTGCTGTGACATTTTGGCTGGCAGCCTCCAAATGGAACTTAACTTCTGCACTGTGCACGTGTGAGTGGGTGTGTGTGTCTTTCTGCTGTAGGTCTTCCAGCCTGTTGCTAAGAGCTGTAAGGCTTGTCTCAGGCCTCATGGTAGAGGCTGCTGGTCTCTTCACCTGCTGTCACCATGACATGGACCCCAGCATTCCGGTTTCCTTTCTGCACAGATCAGTATTTGCTTTTTCCCCCCAAATATCTTCTTTTAAGCTGTAACTTTCAGAATACAGAACTGGATAGAATTGCACAGGCCTCTCCCTGATGCTTTTTTTGGCAGGGTTCTGGTGTTGGGTCCTGTAGGATCCTTTTCACAGCCTTTGCCTTCAGCAGGCTTTCTCCCTGGCTGTCTCTGCTGCGTTTGTTTTCTGACTGTGCTCTTGCTGCCTCTTTCTCACAGCTTCTTGTTGAGTGTTGTTATGGCATATGTGCAAATGGGCACTGAGAGGTTAAAGGGGCATGTGTTTCCTTTAAAACATTTGCTGATGGCTAATTTTTCCTTCCGTGAGCTCCCTGACCAGAGCTGTTTCCTTTCCTGGGACAGGTTTCTTGTGAGAGTACTGGGTGTGGGGGCAGACACCCTGCTCTGGCTCAGACAGGAGGCCCCTCGGCACAGCAGTGTGTCCCAAGGATAGCCCAAGCGGTGTGCCATGTCCTCAGGTCCTGAGACAGCTGGGAAAGCCTTCATAAGGCAGCCTCTGCCCATCATGACAGCGACAGGTTTTGTGAGACTGGCCTGCTGGCCATGTAGGTCTCTGAAACCTTGGCCTGTCCTGGCCCCCCTTCAAGAGGGCCAGGCAGGAACAACACGTCAGAGGTGCTATGGTGGACTTGAGTTCTCACTGTTGCAGTCCCAGTCCCAGCTGCCTCCCAGAGGCTGGTGACACCCACATCCACTGCCCTCAGCTGCTTCATCTGACTGAGAAGCTGCTCTGCACCAGCCTCTGGGCAGACATGGGCAGGAACTCTGTGGGAGGAGCAGGGCTTCTGGGGGGCGCTCAGCACAGCAGGGTGGCAGTCCCTGGAAACTAGGCCGCCAGCCACCTCCTCATCAGGACACTTGGTTCTGCCTCCTGCCCCCTCAGGGACAGAACACAGAGATGGCTGGGCTGCCCTGCAGGTGAGGCTGGGTCCCTCTTGTGCAGCCCTGTGTCCTGCTAGGGAGGAGGAGGGAGCTGGCCCCTTGGCCAAATCTGGTGGTCTTTCCTTGGGGATACCCTTCCCAGGCCTTGCACTGGGTAAGGTGGCTGCAAGGCAACCCACAGCCTGGGGTGGCCTCTGGTTTTAACAGCTCTCTAGAGACAATTCACACACCCTGCAACTCGCTTATTTGAAGCCTACCATTCAGTGGTCATCCCAGACAGAGACCAGCAGCCTTCCCACCCTTCCACAGCCCTGGCAGCCACTGACCTGTTTTCTGTCCCTATGGGTTTGTCTATGGACAAATGCCGGATGCTCCATAGAGTTGGTATCTACAATACAGAAGATTTGTGTTGGCTTCCTCCATGCCCTGTCCTCAGGGCCTCCCCACCTGTACACGTCAGTGCTGCTTCCCTCCCTGTCGTGGCTGGAGACCCTCCATGGTGTGTGACACCACATCTGTTCATCAGTCCAGATGCTAGTGGACCCCTGGGCTGTGTCCACTTCTGCTGAGGACGCCTGTGTGCAGGTCTCACCAGCACCTTGCTTAGTGATTGAGGCGAGAGACCTCCTAGCAGTGAGGTGATTGAACTGTGGGTGGTGGCAGGATGGCCCTTGAAATACCCACTGGGGCCCTCTGGGGCTGGGATCTCCCTTGGAAACCTGCAGGTGGTGCCTGGGGAGACTTCACCCTACTTGAGGGAGAGAGGTAACTGCTGAGGCCTTTTTACTCTGTAGGAAAAGGCATGTCAGGAACCTCCTACTTCTGACAGGTCTCAGGTCTGAGAATGAGTCTTGCCTCCACTTAGGTGCAAAGCTGAATGTGGGAGTTACCAGCCATGTGTAGGAGAGGTCCCACCGCTTTGCCTGGAGGCTGGGTCTTTTTGCTAACATGGCCTTTCCTTGAGAAGGATGTGAGAATGTCTTAATGGCAGAGAGAGCTCTTGCCCCTTAGTTCAGTGGAGCGCATCTTCACATACCCCCACAGGCCAGCCTGCTGCCTGTGCATAGGAGAAGGGGTGTGCGTTCTGGAAGTCTGCAAAGTAGTATCTTTCTGCAGGGTCTAGGACAGCTGCCCCCAGGAACACCCTGCTGCTGGGAGCCGAGTACACACGGTGCTACTCTCCTTCATGGTGTCTCCAGGGCACAGGGCCAAGAGGGTCTGCGGAACCTCTGCCCAGATGGAGCAGGAGCCCCTCCTGGGGGGCTGTCCCACCGACCTGGGGGTGCCCTGCCTCCTCACCTGGTCTAGCCCTTCTCATCCCTGGGCCTAGAGGTTTCCTGTCCTACAACTATTAGTGATTTTACTCCCCAAGGGCAGCACTTGCAGTGTTCCCAGGGTCCCCCAGCGGTCACTCTTCTGGGCTGACACCTGCGCTGAGGAGCCCAGGTACAGCCCTGCCCCCACCCAAGAACAGCAGGGGTCCTGCTGCTGGGAGGCAACTCTGGCCACCTTTTAGCCAGAGGGGCCTGTCCAGCTGGCGGGCCTTTGGCACAGGCATAACTGTCTCCAGAAATGCTGACAGTTGCGGAGAAGCTGTCCCCTGGACCCTGAGCATGCTAGGGCCTGAGCAAGGCCTGGGGTGCAGGGCTAGAGGCCCAAGCTGCCTGCTGGCCCTCAGGCCCATGTCCCTGCAGGTTCTGTGGGGAATGCCTCCAGCCGTGCCTGCGGGTACCATCTCCCCTGTGCCCACTCTGCCGCCTGCCCTTCGACCCCAAGAAGGTAGACAAGGCTGCCCAAGTGGAGAAGCAGCTCTCATCCTACAAGGCGCCCTGCCGGGGCTGCAACAAGAAGGTACCCACCACCTACTTGGGCTTCCCTGGGTCAGAGCCGGGCACTTTTAGTGGGGCGGCTTCAGGCCACAGGTTCTGCTTCCCAGCAGAGGAAGGATGCAGGGACCATCTCCCTTCCTGCCTAGGGACCAGCTGCTCTGCCCCTGCACCAGGAAGCCTGCCAGCCCCCCCCCCATCTCTTCTCAAAGTGACAACTGAGAGCCCGTTAGAACCTCGGGCACCCCTGTGCACTGTGGCCAATGCAGGGACCCCAAGGCTGAGCTGCAACCCTTAGCCTTGGGATGCTTCAACTGCCAGCTGCCACTGCAGGCTGTGGCAGGGCAGGCAGCACCTCTTGGGGTCTCTGAGGCAGAGGTGAGGCCACAGGCAGAGTCAAGGGTGTCAACTAGTGCTGGGCAACCCCCAGCCCCGTTTCCATCCTCTAACCCTGGACTCCTAGCACACAGCTCTATCTTCCCTAATGTGTACTAGGTCTCTCTGTCCAGCAGCCTTGGTCAGGGTTGGGTGCCAAGCTGGTATCCAGAGGGCCCCATGGCAGTGCCCTCAAGAGGACCTGTCACCCTAGATGCCTGGGTGGTTCTGTTTGCTGAGCACATGCCCTGCACCCACAGGAGCAGGTGCCCCTCGCTTGCCCCTCAGTCCTGAGTCTTGTGGCATTTGCTAAGTGGCAGGACATGGTGGTCTCTACCTCCCAGGGAGGGCTGGCCATGGCCTCTCCTATTCTGGGCCATTTATCTACCATGCTGAGAGTTACTTGCCCCCGGCATGAGAGCAGTTCTGTCCCTTCTGTGTTCCATGAGCTGGGTTTCTGCCCTCAACCAAATCATCCTGCTGTGACTCAGGTGGGACACACTGACAGTTTTGTTGTGTCACATTGTATGTGTCACACCTGATTAGGAGTTCCATCAAAGACATTTGTCTAGTCGGCCAGACACAGTGGCTATCATCCCAGCACTCTGGGAGGCTGAGGCAGGAGAATCACTTGAGCTCAGGAGGTGAAGACCAGCCTGAACAAGAGACCCCATCTCAACTAAAAATAGAAAAACTAGTCCCAACTACTCAGGAGGCTGAGGCAGGAGGCTCTTCTGTGCCCAGGAATTTAAGGTTGCTGTGACCTAGGACACTATGGCACTCTAGCCTGGGTGATAGCGGGAGACTCTTATCTCAAAAAAAAAAAGGAAAAAAAATGTTTCTCTTAAAGGATTTTTTCTGGTGGCTCCTATTAAGAGGTGTGTTTTTCCTTAGAGCTGTTCTCATGGACAGCTAAGCTGGCTACCTTTGGGAGTGGCCGAGCACTGGCTCTGAGCAGTGCCAGCTCAAGGGCTGTGGGGCTCAGCAGCTGGTCTCCAGGACGCTGCAGCTCCCTTGCCTGGCATCTGTCCTCCACCTGGTTTCCTCACAAACCAGAAACCCTGTCTATAGGCTGCTGCCTAGGGCCTTTCATTGTTTTAGGAGCAGAAGGGGCTGGGTCCCCTTGCTGCAGCTGACACAGACCCTTGTAGTTCTGTCCTGGACACCTGAGGCTCTGCCCTGCTGGGCCCTCAGGGCTGTCTTTCCTTCTCACCTGCCCCAGGTGACCCTGGCCAAGATGAGAGTGCATGTCTCCTCCTGCCTGAAGGTCCAGGAACAGATGGCCAACTGCCCTAAGTTTGTCCCTGTGGTGCCCACATCCCAGCCTATCCCCAGGTAGGAGCTGCTGGGGGAAGGGAGGGCCAGAGTCCATGGGGGTCCTCACCAAACTGTAAGAGGAGCCTGTGGAAGCAGGGCCCTGGGGTTGGGGACACCTGGGGTGTTGGGGGCCAAGTGGAAAGTGCAGGCCGGGCCCCTGCTGCAGTGCCCACTCACCCCGCCCCCACCCCGCCCCGCCAGCAACATTCCTAACAGGTCCACCTTCGCCTGCCCATACTGTGGTGCCCGCAACCTGGACCAGCAGGAGCTGTTGAAGCACTGTGTGGAGAGCCACCGCAGTGACCCCAACCGTGTGGTGAGCAGCTGCTGGGCTGGGGGAGGCAGGGGTGGAGCGCACATCCTGGGAAACCTGGTCCCTGCAAGGCTGGGGCTGGGCTGCCTGGGACCCCAGGGCGGCTGACTCGCTGCCCAGTAGCACCTGGTGGAGGCTGGGAAGAAAGAGTCCATGCCTTTGGGGTGAGGTACGGTTGTGGGGACAATCACACATTATGGGCCAGACCGTGCCCCCTGTGCCAGTCCAGTGGGCCTTCCCAGGCCGGGGCAGCACTGCCAGGGACGTGCAGCCTCGGGGCATGGAGGGAGATGTTCCAGGTGCTGGAAGTGCCTTCTCCTGCTGCATGGAGCCCAGCTTGACCTAGTGCCCGGTTCCAGGTCTGCCCCATCTGCTCGGCGATGCCCTGGGGCGACCCCAGCTACAAGAGCGCCAACTTTCTGCAGCACCTGCTCCACCGGCACAAGTTCTCCTATGACACCTTCGTGGTGGGTTTTGTCCTGCTCTTCCCTCCCTGGCCTCCCACCCTCCTGCCAGCCTCAGGGTCCCTGTGTCATGGGAAGCCGAGAACACAAAAGCTTAGGTAGGGCTGCACCTCTTCTGGTTTC